GGCATTCACTGATAAGCTAGAGGAATTAACAACTCTCCCCCTCCAGCCTGCTATGCATGAATGTGGGCACGGGCAAGTGCAACTTACCGCTGAAGCTCTTCGTGTAATGTCGCATCGTTGCATCACTCCAGGAAGGGTCAGGCCCGGACAGCTTGACCTGGCGACCCCGCCATCGTACATTTCCGCCCTCATCGCGCATTAGTTCTCAATGTAGGTCGAGCGGGGGGGTCGTGAGGTGTGTGAGTTTCTGGCAAGATTCGGACTGTTTCTCGCTGCCACATCTCGGCTCCTTCGCCGTCCTTCGGTTGAGCTAGGCAAAGCAACCATGCCAAATCTAGAGCCTAAAGATCCGCACTCCGCCGATGATTTGTATATTCTTCGTTCTATGTTTCTTGAGTGCAGACCCCTGGCACTCAGCCGGTTTTGGAGAACAGGGAGCGGGGGAGTGGAGAAGAGCAGAGAGGAGATCAAAGCAGCGGAGTGTGGACCGGAGAGGAGAGGACTTCGGCAATAGAACCGCCAGTACCACGGCTTCCCCTCGAAAGTACACAGCGGGCTCCGTGTCTCCGTGTTAAGCCGTGACCTCTCGCAGAATCGACGTGAGGTGAGCTTCTGGCGCTCGCATGTTGACCTTTTTTGGGCCAGTCGCCGCGGTTCCGTGACTTGCATGCAACCCCAAGGCCCGGATGCGGAAATCCCATGCACATGTCTCTTGCCACTTTGTGATCGCTCTTCATGTCTGGTGCTTGCCCGTTCGCCCTCTGCCCGCCCAAACCCCCAGAGCTCGGAAGAACTGAACGTAAGTAGCAAGACCAGCAAGACATTGCAAGACTATATCCTGTGCAAAGGGCCGGCAGTCGCGTCCTGCAGCTCGGGGCAGCGGCCGAGGAAGGCGAGAAGCCCAGCCGCAGCCTCGATGCATTTGGAGTCGCTGCCGAAGCACCTCGGGCTGGAACCCTTGCTGTGTTTCTGCTACTCAGCTGTGTTCGCATTTGCCAAAATGCTTTGAAATACAGTCCATTCATTTTAACCGTCTTATATAAACCCACGAAGTCTGCACCACAAACTCAATTACCAAGGCTCGATCTGTCCCTGAGAACATCGAAACTTCCCACTGAAATGGCTTGGTGCCGGCCGCCTCAAACCGACCGCGCGCCCACATTCACGGCACGAAGCGTCGAGTGCGAAGGAACAGGCTCCACGGCTCTGAGCTAAGCACACCACGACACTTTGTTCGACCGCTCCTGTGAAACGGCTGGGTCGCCATGCCACCTCTTCCATGCCCCTACCAGATCACACACACTCCAACAGGCGCCCAAAAGCCGAGGCGCCAGTTGAAGTCCACCTTCGTCAGCTTCGGCCACTGGGCGCCCTCGAGCTGCTGCCACGCCGCAGCCGGGATCTGGTCGCACTGCCCCAGGCTCAGGACCTGGCAAAGGGGTCGGGTCGCCACCAAGGCCCCAACCAGCCAAAGCACTCAAGCACTCTCAACCAAGACACATGACAATCTACACTTCACTATGAACGAGCGATGCGGAATCCCATGCATACGTCTGTTGCCACTCTGTGAAAGCTGTTGATGTCTGGTGCTCGCCCGTTCGCCCTCTGCCCCACGCAAACCCGAAGAGCCCGGTCCTACAAAAAAGCAGCATGCAAGACTTCACAGACTGTCTTGTGCAGGGGCTGGCAGTCGTGTCCTGCAGCTCGGGGCAGCGGCCGAGGAAGGCGAGAAGCCCAGTCGCAGCCTCGATGCCCTTGGAGTAACTGTCGAAGCACCTCGGGCTGGAACCCTTGGTGTGCTTCTACTACTCAGCTGTGGAGTTCGCACTTGCCAAAATGCTTTGAAACAGTACATTTCAACCGGCTTATACAAACCCACGAAGTCTGCAGCCCACAAACTCACTTACCAAGGCTCTATCTGATCTGTCCCTGAGAACATCGAAACTTCCCACTGAAATGGCTTGGTGCCGGCCGCCTCAAACCCACCGCGCCCCCACAATCACGGCACGAAGCGTCGAGTGCGGAAGAACAGGCTTCACGGCTCTGAGCTAAGCACACCACGACGATTTGCTAGACCGCTCCTGTGCAACGGCTGGGTTCCCCTCGCACCCCAACAACCATCTCGACGAGACCACACACACTCCAACAGGCGCCCGAAAGCCGAGGTGCCCGTCGAAGTCCACCTTCGTGAGCTTCGGCCAATGGGCACCCTCGAGCTGCTGCCACGCCGCAACAGAGATCTGGTTGCAGCCGTACATCAGCAGCTCCTTGCCGGCGGGATCGGATGGGCTGTCCTCGCTTTCGGGGGGTGCCTCTGTTCTCAAGTCCCTTAAGAGACCCGTCTCGGGGAAGAGAAGGACCGGAGGTTTTCAGGCGTTTGACGGCTTTGGACCGAAGCGAGGCCTGCGCGGACGAGGAATGTACACAGCTTATCGATACGAGTGAGGATCGAAAGGAGCATCACCACCCACCGTCAGGTAACAAGCCCGATCCATTTTGACTTCAAGCTTCACCCACCAACATCAACTTCGCTCGCCTCCGCACGGCCTCCGCTCCCTCAGAAGCTTCGAAAGCTGGAAGCAGAATCGAACTCGCGCGCTGACGCGTCCTGCAGCTGCCGGCAGCGTGCCAAGGCCGAGAGCAGCCCGGCGGCGCCCTCGGCGCCCTTGGAGTCTTCATCGAAGCACCTCGATCGATGAATTCGGCGGCACTTCGGTCGCAGCAGACGAGTCTCTGACAAAAAGAAGCCTTGGAACCCTCGCCTCCTCTGATAGATCCGAAGCTTCCACGAGAAAGGATTCCCCCTCCCTTTAAAAAGCCGCTGTCCGAGGCGCCGAGAGAAATCCGCCTTCCGGAGCTGCTCCCAGCGGGCGGTGGCCAGGAGCTGCCAGGCCGCGGCCGGGACTTTGTAGCAATACGACATGCCCAGCTCCTGGCCGAGAGCCGGGTCTCCGGTGCTCTGCTCTGCAGCCAATTTTGGGCTCGAGCGGTGTCGGAATGCTCCAGGCTGTGGCCAGGGTGCTTCAGCCCTTTCCCCTGTTGCAATCGCGGTTCTACGCGCACTGGAACTCGGAGCGGGGAGCTAACCACTGAGCTTAGCTTGACTATCGTCATCAGCACCTCGTGGTTCGACCTGTCAAAGAGTGGGCTGGGGTTTCGGTCGCAGGAAACCCGACGAAGCTCCGACGAGACCCGGCAAGCTACGCACGTCCTGCAGCAGCTGGCAGCGGCTCAAGGCCAACAGCAGCCAGGCGGCGCCCTCGATGCCCTTGGACTCTTTGTCGAAGCACTTGGAGTCGCTATAGAAGCACCTTGCGAAAAAGAAAAGGCGCAGGAACCACATCCCTGCAACTTAAGAAGAGAGCCGCAAAGCACTCTCTGCTCTCCGAGGCGCCGTCTGAAGCTCGCCTTCCTGAGCTTCTGGAACGCCTCACCCTGAGCCTGTCCGACCTGCTGCCACACGGCGGCAGGGACGTCCCGGCACCGATCTAAGTTGAGCTCCTGGCCGCGAGGGTTTGCCAAGGTGCCTTTCGGCTCTCTCCTCCCCTTTCGCTGCTACCCGCCCGCCCTCGGCGCCGGAGGCATCTTGAAAGCTGCTTGACGTACAGACTGCCGTTCGGCACCCTGAGCAGATCCGTGCATCAACCACCACCCATACACCACGCAACCACCACCCATACACCACGCAAGTTACCGGCCCGGTACAAATCAGAGGTCGATTGAAGGAACCATGAACTTACGTACATGAACAACACGCGGCCCTTCAACCTGCCGTCGCGTCCTCGATGTCGGAGCGGGCCAGAGCGGGCAGCAGGCCGAGGTCACCCTGAACTGCCGCTGCGCCGGCCTCTCCCGGCATCACCACGGAGGTGACGAAAACCGGGTGCATAGGCAGCTGCTTGGCGACGGGCTCCTGCAGCTCCATGGAGCTTGCCGCCTCGCCTGCGTTGATCGGGAGCGTGCGGTGTTCAGGTGATCTGCGGACAGTGCTTCGCAAGACGCTCGGACGGTCCGAAAAGTTTCCCGGCTTCGTCCTCTAGCTCTAGCTACTGCTTCCGGTCCCCAGACAGACATCCCCGCATGCGTCCATCCATCCATCCCTTCATCCATCCATCCATCCCTCCATCCATCCATCCATCCATCCATCCATCCATCCAACCATCCATGCCTTGCATTCCTGCAGTACCTATGTTTTACTTCCGTGGTCGCTCCGTGAGCTCTGGATCTCTCCCAAAGCCAGAGCCAGAGACAAAACGAGTGCCCCAACGCACGCTTCTCACGCTCCACCCGCCTGCACCCGCTTCGAGGTCCAAAGGAGCTTTGCGCAGGCGCTCCAGGTGCTCCTCCGGGACGCCTTTTGCATGCCGGAGGCGAGGCCACGTTCCGTCGCCCAGCAGCTCCCACGCCGTGTCGGGGATCGCAAAGCAAAACTTGAAGTCCACCTCCTGGCGGCCGCTGCTGCTGGACGGAGGCGAGAGGCATGGGGCTCTCTTCTCTCTGAGCTGCGCCCTGAGGGTGACGGAGGCCTCCAGCTGCCGGGA